CGGGTTCCGTCACTTCATTCTCCCGCCGATCAGCGCTGCAAAACTGAGCCTCTTCTATAAGGCAGCCGGCAGCCAACCTGCCAGCACTCACTGACACTCGCTCATCTCCGAGCGCGGGGAGAGAGGGAGACAAAATACCTACCGGGAAAAAAGGAGAGAGGGGGCAGTCCGCGCTTTGCAAACTATTCCATTTTTCTTCGCATCTTTCCCCACCCCCCTTCACAGTACTTAAAAAAAAAAACAAAAAAAAAAAACCAACCCTGTAGCGATCCTAAAAGGCAAAACCCGAGCGCGGAGTTACTGGAAGAAGAAACCGGGGTTAAAAAGATTCCTCCTCTCTTCTTCATCATCATCAACCATCACTCATTCACTACCTTGACATTCCCTGGCTTTGATTGACAGCTGGAGTGGCAAAAAGCCATGAGACACGACAGTTCGGTTCCATGTGGGCTGCTGACGGGCCGATCGTAACCCGCACGGTGGGGGCTTGACCGTGTGTGTGGTTTTTTTTTTTTTTTTTTTTTTTTTTTTTTTTTTGGTACGTAGAGAAAGGAAAAAGGAAAAAGAGAAAGAAAAAGGAAAGAGAGAGAAAAAAGAAGAAATACACAGAAACTCATCGTGTTTGCTGGCTGTTTTTTGTGCGTTCTCGTTGCTGGTGGTGGTGGTGGTGGTATTTCCCCGTACCGGAGGATAGGAGAAGTCTGTAAGTGGGTGGCAAAAAAAAAAAAAAAAAAAAGACTCTTCTTCACTCTAAATCACTTTCTTTGCTGGACTGGGACACTGGGATATTAAATATACGGCACATCCAGGAGTTTATTGGAGCGCAGACTGATGGCGCAAAGGGTAGGTTTAAATCTCCAACCCTTACCTATAGATAAATCCTCCCTAAGAGGGGCCTGTCCGATTTGCTCTCCGCCGATGCTGCTGCTGATGGCGGCCCCTGTTAGCCAGCAGAGCCCGGGTGATCCCCGCGCTTGCCGTGCGTGTGCGTGAGTGCTGTGCGTGTGCCTCTCCTCGCGGTTGTTCCACGCTCGCTCGTCGCAGCCGTTCCCCGCAGCGCCGCTCCGCTCCCGGCTCGCAGGGAGCTGCCTCGGGAAGCGCTGCGGCCGGGTGTGCACATATACGGGCGTGGATATATGTGTGCATATAGAGCGGCTGCTTTTTTTTTTTTTTTTTTTTTTTTTTTTTTTTTTTTTTTT